CACACACACACACACACACACACACACACACACACAATGTTAAAAAAATAAATAAATAAAAATAAAAAAAAAGAACAGGAAAAGTTTATTGAGGTGTAGAAACACCTCCTGAGGAGTCCATAGTGGGTTGTCACAGAGGCCCTTTGTCAGGGATAATTTATACCTCAAAGTCATACATGTGAGTACAACATGGGTGAAGCTATCGTCAACCAGTAAGACTACAAGGATAGCCACGGACCTAATATTGATCCAGTAGGGACGTGGGGCACCTAGCACAGGTATATGGCTGGCATCATTAATCTTGGCTTACCCATGACTTCTAAAACAGGAATATTCTGGGAAAGGGATGGATCCAGGTGTCGGGGTCCTGGTCACTCAGCTGAGTGTCCGATGCATACCTGGATTTAATGGATTGGGTGGTGTTAATTAACAGTGTGTGAGAAAGCTGGGTGTGGTGGTGTAGGCTGAGACAGAAGAGGGAGGCAGGAAGGAGTCCACATTGGCTCACGGGAGAAACTTGTTCACTACCTTACCTTTCCTGTGCTTCCTCGATGAGAGGTATTGTTGAAAAATACGATGAATATTCAAAAAAATTTAAACATATTGCAGTAAAAGACATATTGCCATTAATTTCCTCTAAGACTACTTCACCTCGTGCCAAACACGCTTGTCATTCTCACTTTCTGGAAATGTCTGAGAGTTGCCATTAGTTGTGCTGCTGTGACTACCTTGACATCCCTGGTCAATTCTAATTGTCCATCTTTTAGTATCAGTTTGACTTTGAGCAAGAGCCAGTGGTCACAAGGAGCCAGAGTTTACAAAGAAGGTGGATTAAAAACATAATTTAACCATTAAAAAACCCCCAAAGATAATTACAATATTTTAAAAATGTTAGAAATGATGCAGAATTTCACTAAACAAAATGATAAGAATTGAACAAGTAGGACGAGGCTCAGGGCCTGGGGTTTGAGCCCTGCAGTGCCGTGCCAGCTCCATCCCCCTGGGGTGTGCTGAGATAGCGACTGAGACTGGGCATGGCGGCACATGCCTGTAATCCCAGCGCTTGCAAGGCTGAAGACAGGAAGATCACTACAAGTCTTACCTGTGTAATGAGACCCTGTAAGACCCACAGACCCTGTCCTAAAAAAAATAACTGGGATGAGGAAAACTGAAAAAGGAAGAGAAGAAAGGAAAAAATGTATATGTATATATACAAGATAGCTTGGATAATTGTCCTGTCGATTTCTACTGGTCTGTTGAACAGTTAATGCTTATTTTTTCCTTCTTTTTAATGTTTTGACCAATTTTGCATTCTTGCTTTATCTCAAAAGTTAGCTTTTGCCAGGAATTTTAAAAGTCAAATTGGAGAATAATTTATGGAGAAAATGAATGCACATATCATGAGACACATAGCATATGGCTATTGCATGCCATCCTTCTTTTAGTCAATTTCTGCCCACCTACAGTGGTCTTCTATAGAACTACTAGAGGCCATTGCAACCACCAAGGATAGTCCTATGTAGCCACTGGATATGTCCACCACAGCCAGACCTCCAGAGGGCCCTGGGCACTAAGATTCAAGGTAGCATCATGTCTTGTAGACATGGCTCTTTTTTTTCCTCTCTTCCATAAGCATGACACAGAGATGGCTGAATAAGGACACTCCTCAGGCTGGGGATATAGCTCAGTGGCATGGCATCTGCCTGGCAAGTGTGAGGTCCTGAGTTCGATTCCTGATACCAAAAAACAACCAAACAAACCAACAGCAAAAAAACCCACCCCTCAATACACGTTATTTACTGATGGTAGTAAGGGGAGGGGTAAACGACAAGCAGCTATTATTACTATGTAACCGTTTTTTTCCTCTTGAGAGCTGTAGTTATTCAATCCTCACTGATTTTCCAGGAGTCTTTAACGTAGTGGAATGCTGAAGAACAACAGATGTCTGTCTTGGAGAACGTGTAATCTCTCTTCCTTGACCATTATTTAATTTAAGACAATCTTGGATTTAGAAGCTTTTTCTAGCACGGGATGCTGTGGCCCTGTCCTTGGGGTGGGAGGTGACAGGTTCATGCATTTGTGTTTTACAGGCTTCTCTACTGCAAAGAAAGATATCACTGGTCCAGAGAAAGTGAGTGGCCATGAGTGGGGCTCACTGACTGTGGAATGTCATTATTCCTCAAAGTGGAAGACCAAGCCGAAATGGTGGTGTTGAGGAGCTAGGTGGAACAGCTTCAAGGAGCTGATTAAAACCAATGGATCAGGGGCTGGTGAGATGGCTCAGTGGTCTAAAGCACCTACTTAGAAAAAGCTTAGGAAAGCACAAAGACCACGGTTCAATCCCCCAGCACCACATGCCAGCCAGCCCCGCCCCCTGGTGGGTTGAGCTGGCCACACACACACACACACACACACACACACACACAAATAAATAAATTTTAAAAAATAATAAATAAATAAAACCAATGGATCAGAGAAGGAGGAGAAGAAGGGACGCTTGTCCATCTGGGACAACCAGAAAGATCTCATGTTCAGTGTAACTATGAAGGATCTCAGGAGAGATGATGCTGGTAGTTACTGGTGTGGGATTGAAAGAATTGGAATTGACCTTGGAGCCCTAGTTCAAGTGACCATTGGTCCAGGTAAATGTGTGTATGTGTGGTTGTATCTCTGAGACCCCACATGAGTAAGCTAACTGTCACCAGAGTGACATATTGCAGAAGGGGGTTCAGTCCTGAGGGCTAAGGCCTTTCTTCCGAGATCCCGGTCCTGTCTTCTGACAGGTAGAAGATGGTGGAGAAGGATGACAATTTTCTCCTCTTAGCACAACACACACAACCCCACCTTATCCCACACAGAATTATATTAGAAGTATTTTCATGTGCATAGAGATGAAGTACTTTAATACAAAGTAAATTATGGAACCTGTATCTGGGCAACATACAGTGATGGGGATCAGATTTCTCTTCTCACTTAAATGACAACAATAAATATAATAGATAAAATATATGAAACTAAGATTTTTTTTTTTTTGTGGAACCTGGGATTGAACTCAGATCCTTGCATTTGCCAGTCAAGTGCTTATCCTACTGAGCCATCTCCCCAGCCCCCAAAACTAAGATTTTAAACACATTATATTCCAGGCAACAAATAACAGTTACTTGCTTGAGAGATTTGTTTGCTTGAAACCCAGAAAGGGATACCAAGGTGGACCCTACAGACTTCTTCAATGGAGGAGAGATTGCTTAGAATCCGGGGAAGTAAAGCTGGTAGATTTGCAGGATAGGGTATCAAAGAAAAGAGTGTAGGGAATGGGGTCCAGAGGTCTGTAGGCTGAATCAAGAGAGAACCTATCCTTTCTTGTGCATAAAGGAACTACCTGAGGTTGGACAGAGAATGACCAAAAAGAACAGAAAGAATGGCTGTCCCAGAGGGCCAGGAGTTACATCTGTCCTCAGGAGCACACTTGGCTAAAGTCATAATTTGTGGAACGTCAGGCAAAATACGTATAAACATGTGGCCCCTCTAGTGGAGATTAATTGGCTCTACAGCAAATGCTGCTTTGACATGGCTTTACAAATCTTCAAAGCAAGTTTTGAAAGAATCCAGCCCTTTCCAAGTAATTTCACTGCATGCCTGTGCAAAACTCAAGATTTATAGGCAGAAGTCTGACATCAAAAAGGTTAAAATCACAGTATCCAGAATAGTAATAGATTATGAGACATGATAATTATTATGGAATGAAGCTGAGAACACCTTTTATGATGAGAATAAACAATTGAAACCAATCTAGAACTAACACAGATGTTAGGATTAGTAGAAAAAGAAATTAAGACAGTATAATAGGGGCTGGTGAGATGGCTCAGTGGTCTAAAGCACCTACTTAAAACAAGCTTAGCAAAGCAAAAGGGACCACGGTTCAATCCCCCAGCACCACATGCCAGCCAGCCCTGCCCCCTGGTGGGCTGAGCTGGCCACACACACACACACACACACACACACACACACACACACAAAGACAGTATAATAACTATATTTGACATGTCTGAGGAAGCAGTGATATGGAAAATATAAAAATACTGAAGCCAAATTTTTAAAAGATTAAAGTTACAAGGGGCAGGGGAGATGGCTCAGTAGAATAAGCACCTGCCTGGCCTTTAACCAACTGTTTTACTTATAAGAATGTGTTCCAGAAGGCTGCCACAAATGTACATCCAATCACACAAAGATATTCATTATATAGAGTGGTAAAAAAATGAAAACAACTAACATGTTTCCCAGGAAGGAAAGAATGAAACAAGTCATGGGGCTGGTGAGATGGCTCAGTGGTCTAAAGCACCTAGTTAGAACAAGCTTAGCAAAGCACAGGGACCGCGGTTCGATCCCCCAGCACCACATGCCAGCCAGCCCTGCCCCCTGGTGGGCTGAGCTGGCCACACACACACACACACACACACACACACACACACACAAATAAATAAATAAAAAGAAACAAGTCATGCTATGTAGATCCCATGGAATACTGTAAAACCACTGAAAACAAAAATCTAAATAAAAAAACTATGGAGACTGACATGGAATAATTTTCTAAATAGTTTAATTAAGAACATAAAACAAGGGGCTGGGGAGATAGCTCAGGGGTCTAGATGCCTGCCTGGCAAGTACAGGGACCTGGGTTTCATCCTTGTAACCACATGACCCATGGGCCCTGCCCTGGGCATGCTGAGCCGACCCCCAAGACCAGGCATGGTGGTGCACGCCTGTAATCCCAGCACTGGGGAGGCTGAAATAGGATCTCTATGAGTCTGACCTGTGTAATAAGACCTTGTACCACTGGGGAGGTAGCTCATAGAATAAGCACTTGCCTGGCAAACACAAGGTCCTGAGTTCAATCCCTGGTTCTGCAAAACAAACAAACAAACAAACCAAAAAAACCCAAACAAACAAAAACCCTGTAACAAATACATAAATTGTTTTTTCCGAATACATAAAATTAAAAAAGTACAAAACAAACACACTGGATATATAAACAATATAAAATAATTGTTAAAAAGTAATAATTGTTTATAATGAGCATTTTGTACGAGAATAAGGAAGAATACACATATACTCCCATAGGGGCTGGGGCCTGAATAAATAAATAAATAAAAGTCTCATTAGGTTGAGCTTAAAACTAACTTACTTGAGAGATTCCCTTGGAAAGCCAGTCAAGCATGAGGGTAGAAAATAAAAGAAAAACCAGGCACCAAATAGCGTTGAGACAGACACCAAGAGACTAGAACGAGAGAGAATTTCAGGGTAGGACACAGAGAAAAAGTCAAGTGCATCTTTTCTTTCCTTTTCTTTTTTGTGGTACTGGGGACTGAACTCAGGACCTTGCGCTTGCCAAGCAAGTGCATATTCTACTGAGCTATCTCCCCAGCCCAAGTCAAGTGCATAGACAATAAGCCAACCCCACCTCCAACGAAATACAGGGGAAACCCAGAGGGTGAAGGCAGTGTGTGCTCACACCTGTGCACTGACACGTGTGTGTGTGTGTGTGTGTGTGTTCACTCTAGAGTCACTATACTGTTCACTCTAGGGTCATTGTACAGCACAATAGATATCCACTCGCCCTCTTCTAACTCTAAGCTGAGCATGAATAAGATAAAGACTTAAAAGGTAGGTCAAGGACAAGTGAACAGAAAGAAGCTATGCATAGACCGCCAGAAGAGATGACACTGGACAGAGGTGCCCAGAAGCCAAGCCACTGATGACAAGTGCCAGGGGTGGGATGGAAAGTCATTCACTCACTCTATAAAAGCAGCTGGGAACAAAGGGCCCACGGTTCCTCCATTTATCAGGAGTCCCCTCCCTGGTTCTTTCTTGATAGGGTACCCATCTATCTTTTCCTTTTCTTCTTTACAAATAAAGTGTTTTTGTTTTGTTAAACTTCATCCCTTGTTTTACTCGGGCCGAGTTTACGGTCCTGGAGGGCTGCTTGTGGTGCTCCTCCAGATGCGACATCTTGGTTCCCCGATCAGGAGCCAGACATGACTCACCCACTTCAGACACATGGTATTTCTCTGAAGGGCCCACACTTGCCCATACACACTCACACAGTAGTTACAGCCTTCACCCTTGAGGAGAAGAGGATCTCCAAAGAATCAAGGTGAAAACAAAACACACTTTGCAGTCTACACTCATGTGTGTTATTTATATTTCATTTATTAAAATCCAAAAATAAATGTAAAATAAATGTAAAACTTGACACGCTGCCAAGTCTTCCTTAGCTCTAGCTCCTCTGCCCTTCCTCAGGATTAAAATGAGTCTCTAGGTCATTCCTGTTTCCTCCATGACCTTAAACGTGACTTGATTTAGTTTTGTTTTTTTTTTTTTTTTCCGTATTGGAAATTGAACTCAGTACCTTGTGCTTGCTAGGCAGGTGCTTGTGTCACTGAGCTGTATCTCCAGCCCTCAATGTCATTTGAGATCATTGCTCTAAATAAAAGATAATTAGCCAGTCATTGGCAGCCCACAATGTACAGTACTCTACAGAACTTGTTGTTTGACTTATCTATGTATTTTCCAGTCATTGCTACATTCAAACGCAACAACCCTCATCACCATTCATGCTGCACTTGTTCATCCAATAACTGAAACATTCTGTCTTCAGACCAACATCTATTTGTCCCAATTTGTTCCCCTAGTAACTACCATTCTACTCTCTGCTTCAGTGAATTCAACTTTCTAAGATGATTCCACATATGAGTTATCATAAAGCATGACAGGATTTATTTATTTATTTAGCAGCACCAGGGATTGAACTAAGGATCTTGTGCTTGCCAAGCAGATGCTCATGCCACTGAGCTATATCCTCAGCCCCTATCTTTGTCAGAATTTATTTTTTATGAAGGTAAATATTATTTCATTATATATCCTTACCACAGTTTTCTTTCTTCCACTTGACTGCTGGTGGACACTTAGGTTGGTTCATGTCTTGACCGTTGTGTTGCCGTGAACATGGAGATGGAGGTAACTCTTAAGATGCTGATGCCAGAGCTGGGAATGTAGTTCCATGGTGGGTTACTTGCCAAGCATATAGGAGTATTTGAACCACAGCTCTAAAGAAAACAGCAATTTGATTTCTTGTGGATATATACTCAACTGTGGGATTCCTGGATCAGATAGTAATACTGTTCTTAATCCTGAAAGAAACTGTATACTGTTTTTCATAGGGACTATATATATCAATTTACATCTCCATCAACAGTGACAAGAGTTTCCTTTCTGTATGTCTTCACCAACACTTGTCTCCTCCCCAGCCCTCCCCCTCCCTTTCCTCTCCCCCCTTCTTTTTCTTTCTCCTCTTCCTCCTCCTCCTTTGCCTCTGCCTCCTCCTCCTCTTCCTCCTTT